ATTTTTCTAATGTGTTCTTGAATTCAGTTTGCCAGTATTTTATTAAGAATTTTTGTTTTAATATTCATGAGTGAGATTGGCCTGTAATTCGCTTTTTTGGTTGTGTCTTTATGTGGTTTTTGTGTCAGGGTAACTATAGCTTCATAAAAAGAGTTTGGGAATGACTCTTCTGTTTCTATATTGTGAAATACATTAAGGAGTGTAGGTATTAGCTCTTCCTGGAAGTTCTGGTAGAATTCTGCATTGAAACCATCTGGTCCAGGGCTTTTTTTGGTAGGATGATTTTTGATAACAGCTTCTAATTATTTACAACTGACAGGTATATTTAGATTGTTCACCTGGTCTTGGTTCAACTTTGTTATATGGCACTTATCTAAAAAAATTGTCCATTTCTTTTACATTTCCCAATTTTGTGGCATACAGGCTTTTGTAATAAGATCTAATGATTCTCTGAATTTTCTGTGTCTTCGGTTATGTCCCAATTTTAATTTCGAACTTATTAATTTGCATGTTCTCTCTCTGCCGTTTGATTTGTTTGGATAGGGGTTTGTCAATCTTGTTGATTTTCTCCAAGAACCAGCTTTTTGTTTCCTTGATTCTTTGGATTGTTTTCTGTGTTTCTATTTTGTTGATTTCAGCCCTCAGTTTGATTATTTCCAGTCTTCTACTCCTCCTGGATGAATCTCCTTTTTTTTTCTAGAACTTTCAAGTGTGCTGTTAAGTCTCCAATGTGTGCTTTCTTCATTTTCTTTAATTGGGCACTTAGTACTATGAACTTTCCTCTTAGCATTGCTTTCATAGTATCCCATGGGTTTGAATATGTTGTGTCTTTATTTTCATTAAATTCAAGGAAGACTTTGGTTTCTTTCTTTATTTCTCCCTTGACCCAGGAGTGATTTAGTTGCTGACTGTTCACCTTCCATGAGTTTGTTGGCTTCCTGAGAGTAGCATTGTTGTTGAATTCTAACTTTAATCCATGGTGATCTGACAAGACACAGGTGGTTAAAAATATTTTTTTGTATCTGGAAGTTTGCTTTTCTACCGAGTATGTGGTCAATTTTTGAGAAGGTTCCATGAGCTGCAGAGAAGAAGGTATATTCTTTCCTATTTGGGTGGAATGTTCTATAGATGTCTGTTAAGTCCATTTGATTCAATACCTCCATTAATTCTCTTATATCTCTCTTAGGTTTCTGTCTGATTGACTTATCCATTGGTGAGAGAGAAGTGTTGAAGTCTCCAACTATTAGTGTGTGTGGTTTGATGACTGCTTTGAGTTCTAGAAGTGTTTCTTTTATATAAGTGGGTGGCTTTATATTAGGGGCATAGATATTCAGTATTGAGACTTCTTCCTATGAATTGTTCCTGTTATGAGTATGAAATGGCCATCGCTTTTGATTGATTTTAGTTTGAAGTTTATTTTGTTAGATATTAGAATGGCCACACCTGCTTGTTTCTAAGGTCCATTTGCTTGAAAAAACTTTTCCCAACCCTTTAGTCTGAGTAGGTGTCTGTCTTTGTGGTTGAGGTATGTTTCCTGTAAACAGCAGAATGTTGGGTCCTGTTTACGTATCCAATCTCTAAGTCTGTTCCTTTTTATAGAAGCATTGAGTCCATTGATATTAAGTGTTATTAATGTCCATTGGTTTTACTCCAGTTATTTTGGGGAGGGGGGTAGTAGATTGTATATATTTCCCTTCTTTAAGTAGTAGAGTGTATGTGTTTTCCTTCTTTGAGTTGTGCTTGTGAAGGGTCTCTAGATGTCTGAGTTATTGTAGGCAATGTTGGCTATGTTGGATTCCTTGGGTTGTGATTTTCCTTCTAATACTTTCTGTAAGGCTAAATTTGCAGCTATGTGTTGTTTAAATTTGTTTTTATCCTAGAATATTTTCTTTTCTCCGTTGATAGTGAATTATAGCTTTACTGGGTATAGTAGTCTGGGATTGCATCCATGGTCCCTTAGTTTCTGCAGTACCTCTATTCAGGACCTTCTGGCTTTCATGGTTTCCATAGAGAAGTCCAGTGTAAGTCTGATAGGTTTACCTTTATAAGTTACTTGACCTTTTTCCTTTGCTGATCTTAATAATCTTTCTTTAAACTGTATGTTTTGTGTTTTGATTATTATATGGCAAGGAGATGATTTTTTTTGATCCAGTCTATTCAGGGTTCTGTATGCTTCTTGAACCTTCATAGGAATATCGTTCTTTAGGTTGGGAAAGTTTTCTTCTATAATTTTGTTGAATATATTTTCTGGGACTTTGATCCTCAATTCTCCTTCTTCTACTCCTATTATTCTTAGGTTTGGTCCTAAGATTATGTCTCAGATTTCTTGAGTGTTTTGTGATGAGAATTTGTTGGATTTGCTGTTTTCTTTGATCAGTGCATTTATTTTATCTATGGTATCTTCAGAATCTGAGATTCGTTCTTTTATCTCTTGTATTCTATTGGTTATGCTTGTTTCTGTAGTCTCTGTTCATTTATTCACATTTTCCATATCCAACTGGCCCTTGGTTTGTGTTTTCTTCATTGCCTCCATTTCAGTTTTTAATTCTTGAACTGTTTCTATTACCTGTTTGATTGTTTTTTATTGGTTTCTCAGGGTGTCATTTAAAGATTTACTCATATCTTCAAACTTTTTGTTATACTTCTCTTCCAATTCTTTACTCATTTCTTCAATCTTTTTGTTATACTTCTCTTCCAGTTCTTTAAGTGAGTTATTCATACCCTGTCTAAGGGACTCTATTGCTTTCATAATGACCCTGTTTTTCACTTCTTCTGGAATAGGGTGTTCAATTCCTTCTGCAGTAAGATTGCTGGGATCTGGTGTTTTCATTTTGTTTTCCAGATTGTTGGAGGAATTCTTGCCTTGGCGCTTGCCCATCTCTTTCTTCAGATGCTCTCCAATGGCTCTTCCCTCTGGCTGGATCTTCTGCTACAGGATCAGTGCCCCTTGCTGGCCAGGAATCTCCCTGCCTGAAGTCCTGCCTTGCAGCAGGCAGGCTATTAAAACAAAGGAACTCCCTCCTGCCGGGTTGCACTCACAGCCCTGTCCCAGTGCCCACACAGACTGGGCTGGGAGATATTATGCCCCAAAAAAGGGAGGGAGGTATGGAAGGGGTTCTTGGCTGAAAGCGGGGATGGGGTAGGAAGAGAGAGGACTTAGCTGGGGGAAACTGCCCCTTCGGAATACCCAGGGAGAGAAGGATGGCGGGAAAATTGTGTGTTCCCTTACCAGGCTTCTGTGGCGGGTCTGAAGCACACTTTCCCCTCCATTGTATCTTCTACTATAGGATCAGTGCCCCTTGCTGGCCTGAAATCTCCCTGCCTCTGTGTGGAACACTTTAAAGAATATAGGTGTTACCTCTTCTTTGAAGTTTTGGTAAAATTCTGCACTAAATCCATCCAGCCCTGGGCTTTTTCTGGTTGGGAGACTTTTGATGACTGCTTCGATTTCCTTTCAGGTTATACGATGTGGTATTCCCTTATGTATATGTGTTGTTTTATTAGCTAATGAATAAAAATGCTGCTTTGACCTGTGATAAGGCAGAAAAAACCTAGGCAGGAAAACTAAGCTGAATATGTGGACAAAGTAGGTGAAAACAGAAAGATGTCATGTAGCCACCCTCAGGAGACAGATGTGCTGTACCTTGCTGGTAAACCATGAGCCTCATAGTAAAATATAAAATAATAGGAATGGATTAATTTAAGATGCAAGAGATAGCTAGCAATACACCTAAGTGATTGGCCAAGTAGTGTTTTAATTACTACAGTTTCTTTGCCACACGAGATTGAATCTGTCAAAAAAGCAAAATAGAGCTCAGGCAAAGGTGCTCCCAGCACTCTCGAGTTATATGTCCTGAATCCCAGCAATAGGGAAGTGGAAACAGGAGTGATATGGCAGGGCAGAGAGAGGAATAAAAGGCAGAGGAGACAGAAGCTCAGTGCAGTCTAAGGTTTGGTGGAGAGCATTGCAGTGTGCAGTCACACTAAGGACCAGATTGCCCCTTTGTTTTTCTAAGCCCAAGGTGGCCTTGAGTCCTGGGATTAAAAGTGTGTGCCACTACTCCCTGGCCTCTAGTGTCTTAGCTGTGCACTCTGATATTCAGACAAGTTTTATTTATTAAAACACAAATAAAATAGCTCTATACCTCACCAAGACCACACCTACTCCAAAAAAAGCCACGTCTCCTAATAGTGTCACTCCTTTGGGTGGCCATTTTTCTTTCAAACCACCACACTCACAAAGTGGAAAGATAGAACTGATACCCACAAGTTGTCCTCTGACCTTCAAGGTACCTTCTTGCACATTCACACAGAGAGAAATAAAGAAACAAATGTAATTTTAATAGCATTTTTTTTAGATTTTTAAATTTTATTTTTGTCTGAAACAGGATTTCCCTGTGTACCCCTAGCTGCCCTGGAACTTGCTCTTTAGGCCAGTCTGGCCTCGAACTCGGAGATTTTCCTGCCTTTTCCTCTGGAGTGCTGGGATTAAAGGTGTGCACCACCACCACCTGGCTAGATTTTAATTTGATATGTATTAGGGTTGTGCCTGAATGTTGTAAGCAAGAAACTACCAAACAGTTTAAAATAACAACAATAATAATAACAATAACAAAATATTCACTGTCTAGATATCTTGGACCATACCAGTGCAAAGCTTGCTGCTGGATTTTATATGGGTGAATTACGGTGAGGGGGCTTAGAAACTTGAACAACCAGGTGGTTACTGGGGACTTTTTCAGATAGAGGAAGGAGGTGCCAATAGATGTTTAAGAGTGTTCAGTCAGCCTTTAAGGGCTTCCAGGGAAATGCTTTGGGGTTTTGTTTCCTAGTTCATGTGGGAGTAGAAACATTGCCAGAAGCACTGCCACTTTGGGGCCTGCTTTGGGAGTTTAACATGTATGTCTATGCACCATGTGTATGTCTGGTGCCCTTAGAGGTCAGAAGAGGGCATTGAATTCCCAGGAACTGGAGCTATATGTAACATGTGGGTGCTGGAAAATGGACCTGAGTCCTCTTCAAGAGCAGCCAGTGTTCTTAGTTTCTGAGACATCTCTCCAGCCCCTAGCTAACATTTTATTAGCTTAGCTAATTTTCCCAGCTCTATAACAGAATAAGGGGCTGCAAGCTACTTAAGTGAAAGACAGGTCTGCTTGGCTCACAGTTCCAGAAGGTACAATCCATAATGGAAAAGCATAGCAACTAGAACAACTTAGCTCATGGTGACAGGAGCTTGTGCCTGGTCGCATCATGGAATCAGGAAGCAGAGAGTTAGACTAGAAGCAGAACTGGCTACAACGTTCAAGGTCAGCCCTTAATGTCTTACATCTACTTGCTAGTCTCTACATCCCAAAGGTTCCATGACCGTCCAAGACAGCACCAACAGTTGGAGACCAAGTGTTCAAACACATGAGCTTGAGGGGGATGTTTCAGATGCAAACCATAACAACCAGCTAGGAGAGAAAAAATCATGGGCTGGGGAGATATCTTAGTAGGAAGATGCTTGTTGCCATTCCTGAAGACCTGGGTTTGAATCTTCAGTGCCCATATAAAGACAGGCATGGTAGTGGAAGTCTACAATCCCAGTGCTCCTATGGTGAGACAAAAGGCAGAGAAAATCATCCATTATGATCAAGTAGGCTTCATCCCAGAGATGCAGGGCTGTCTCAACATATGCAAATCTATCAATGTAATCCATCATATAAATAAAGTGAGAGAAAAAAAAAACATATGATCATTTCATTGGATGCTGAAAAAGCATTTGACAAAAATCAACACCCATTTATGATAGAGGTGTTGGAGAGATTGGGGATAAAACAATCATATCTAAATATAATAAAAGCTATCTACAGCAAGCTGATAGCAAACATCAAATTGAAAGGAGAGAAATTCAAAGCCATTCCACTAAAATCAGGAACATGACAAGGCTGTCCACTCTCTCCAAACCTCTTCAATATAGTGAAGTTCTAGCAATAGCAATAAAACAACATAAGGGGATCAAGGGGATTCGAACTGGAAATGATGAAGTTAAACTTTCATTATTTGCAGATGATATGATAGTGTACATAAGCGACCCCAAAAACTCTAGCAAAGAACTCCTACAGCTGATAAACACCTTTAGTAATGTGGCAGGATACTAGATCAACTCCAAAAAAACGGTTGCCCTCCTATACACAACGAGAAAATAAGCAGAGAGGGAAATCAGAGAAACATCACCCTTCATGATATACACAAATAGCATAAAATATCTTGGGGTAACTCTAACCAAGGAAGTGAAAGTGCTATTTGACAAGAACTTTAAGTCTTTGAATAAAGAAATTGAGGAGGATACCAGAAAATGGAAAGATCTCCCTTGCTCTTGGATTGGGAGGATCAACATAGTATAAATGACAATTCTACCAATAGCAATCTATAGATTCAATGCAATCTCCATCAAAATCCCATTAAACTTCTTCACAGATCTTAAGAGAACAATAATTAAGTTTGTATGGCAAAACAAAAAACCCAGGATAGCCAAAACAATCTTATACAATAAAGGAACTTCTGGAGGCATTACTATCCCTGACTTCAAACTCTATTACCAAGCTACAGTATAGAAAACAGCTTGGTATTGGCATAAAAACAGAGAAGTCTACCTATGGAATCGAATAGAAGACACGGATCTTAACCCATAAACCTGTAAAAACCTGATTTTCGACAAGGGAGCTAAAGGTATACGATGGAAGAAGGAAAGCATCTTTAACAAATGGTGCTGGCATAACTGGATGTCAACCTGTAGAAGAATGAAAGTAGATTCATATCTATCACCATGCACAAAACTCAAGTCCAAATGGACTAAAGACATAAACATTAATCTGACCACTTTGAACCTGATAGAAGAGAAAGTGGGAAGTAGTGTACAAGACATAGGCACCGGAGACCACTTTGTAAGTAGAATCCCAGCAGCAAAGACAATAAGAGAATCTATAAATAAATGGGACCTCCTGAAACTGAGAAGCTTCTGTAAAGCAAAGGACACTCTCAGTAAGACAAAATGCTACCTTCAGACTGACAGAAGATCTTCACAAACCTCTTATCAGACAAAGTTCTGATCTCCAAAATATAAAAAGAACTCAAGAAACTAGACACTAAAACTCTAATTAACCCAATTAAAAAATGGGGTCCTGAACTGAACAGAGAATTCACAACAGATGAACTTCGAATGGCCAAAAATACACTTCAGGTCATGCTCAACCTCCTTAGCAATCAGGGAAATAAAAATCAAAACAATTTTGAGGTACCATCTTACACCTGTTCGAGTAGCTGAACTCAAAAACACCAATGAAAACCTATGCTGGAGCGAATGTGGAGTGAGAGGAACACTTATCCATTGTTGGTGGGAATGCAAACTGTAGAAATAAATCAGTGTGGCGGTTTCTCAGAAGTCTGGGAGTCTACGTCCCTAAGGACCCAGCAATTCCACTCTTGGGAATATACCCAAGAGATTCCCTATCATACTACAAAAGTATTTGTTCAACTATGTTCATAGCTGCACTATTTGTAATAGCCAGAACCTGGAAAGAACCGAGGTGCCCCTCAATAGAAGAATGGTTTAAAAAAGTGTGGAACATATACATATTAGAGTACTACTCAGCGGTGAAAAACAATGACATCTTGAATTTTGCATGCAAATGGATGGAAATAGAAAACGCTTTACTGAGTGAGGTACCCCAGACCCAAAAAGAGGAATATGGTATGTTCTCACTCATAAGTGGATTCTAGCCATAGTTAAAAGTCTTTGTGCCTATTATTCGTGATCCTAGAGAAGCTAAATAAGAAGGTGAACCTGACGAAAATCATATATTTATCCTCCTGCATATTGGAAGTAGATAAGATTGCCAGGCAAACATTGGTGCATGGGGGGGTAGAAGTAAGGGAAGGTGGTTAGAGAGAAGGGAGAGGTGGAGGAGTGGGAATGACTTTGGGGAATATGATGGCGGGGAGGGAGGAAGGAAGGATATGGGAGAAGGGAGGTATATATCTCAAGTAAGGTTGCCATTTTAGGGTTTGCAAGAGACTTGATTCTGGAGGGGTTCCCAGGCCCAAGGAGAGGTCCCCAGATTTTTCCCTGGGCAGCAGAGAAGAGGGTGCCTGAATTTGCCTTGGCCCATAACCACACTGATGATTATTTTGCATGTCACCATAGAACCTTCCTCTGGTGATGGATGGAGATAGAGACAGAGACACATATTGGAACACTGGACTTAACTCCCTATGTCCAAATGAGAAGCAGAAGGAGGGAGAACGAGAGCAAGGAAGGCAGGATCAGAGGGAACCTTCTTCCGAGGATGGATGTAGATAGAGACGGAGACCCACATTGGAGCACTGGACTTAGCCTCCAAGGTCCAATTGAGGAGTAGAAGGAGGGAGAACATGAAAAAGGTAGTCAGGACCATGATGGGTACGTTCACCCACTGATACAAGGGGACTGATCTAATGAGAGCTCACCAAGGCCAGCTGGACTGGAACTGAACGAGCATGTGATCAAACCAGATTCTCTGAATGTGGCTGACCTGGGGGCTGACTGAGAAGCCATTGACAATGGTACTGGGTCTTGTCTCGTCTGCATGTACTGGCTTTTTTGGGATCCTAGTCTCTTTTCATGCTCATCTTCCTAGACCTGGAGGGAGGGTGGAGGAACTTGAACTTTCCACAGGGTAGGAAACCCTGTCTGCTCTTAGGACTGGAGAGGGAGTGTGGGGGAATGGGAGGGTATTTGGAGGAGGGAAGGAATTGAAATTTTTATAAATAAATAAATAAGTAAATTTTAAAAAAAGTCATAGTAGCTGTTCAGATCCCATGGCTCCATTCCAGATCCATAACTCATTCTTTACTTTTAAGTCTTTTTATTTTTTATGTGTTTCTGTATGTGAGTGTGAGTGTCTACTGTTTTGCACAAAGGTTAGAATAAGACATCAGATTCCCCAGAAGCTGGAATTACAGCCAGTTGTGAGCATGGGAAGCACTTGCTGCGAATCAAACATGCAGCCTCTAGAAGAGAAGCAAGTACTCTTAAAGTCTGATCCATCTCCCCAGGCCCCAAGTTTAGCTCACTTGAATGTGGAAAGACATTAACACTCTTTGTTATCTGACTTGGCACTCAGAAATCAGTGCTTGGTCTGTGGTTTCCTAGAATTCTGTGACCCAAAAGCCTCTGAGATTGTTGACAGAGCAGATAAACTGAAGGCAGAGCTAGTGACTGATTCACAAGACAAAAACAACGATGACACTCATGAGTTGTTTCATCACAACCTGGCTTGTTAAATATTTAACCTAAAACCACAATTGACCTTATAAACTTTAGAATGTTCAGACCACACTCAGACAAATCTTTAGGCAAGTAATAGCAATTTGCCAGACTTTATGAATTAAATACTCTTAGGAACAGTCCTCATACCTATCAAAAATGCTGACACTTCTTGAATGGGCTCTATTTTCTAATAACACAGCTGCCCAACAGGAACCTTAAAAGGCAGGGATTTTCATGCCAAGGATGGCATATTTGATGTTTACCAGAACTGCTTTGCTGTCATAATTCTCATTAAATATTAAACAAAGACCTTAACTGACCACATACAACCGAGAAGCTTCATGTGATAGAACTATTGAGCAATGTTAAGGACATGAAGAGGGTTCTCCCCAGAGTGCAAGACTAGACAGAATTCTAGCTGTTCTCAAGACGTTACTTGAATTCCCCAATAATGTATTTGCCAAAAAAAAAAGAAGACATGCTGTGAAAGTTTCTGGAAAATAATAGGTTTGTATACATTAAGTATCTGGGAGTCAGGTGTGGTGACAATTGCCTTTAATTCCAGTATTTAGGAGATGGACGCATGATGTGGGATTTCCCTCTGTGTCCTATGATTAGGATTTATTGCCGCTGGTAATAAAGAAGTTGTTCTGCTACAAAGGAAAAAAGTCAAGTAATATATAAAGATAAACCTATCAGAATTACACCCAACATCCCAAAGGAAACATGGAAGGTCCTGCATAGATGTGCTGCAGACAATTAGAGACCACGGATGCAAGCCCAGACTATTATAACCAGCAAAGTTTTCATTCACTCTAACTTTGAGAAACCCATACCAAGGCTTGAAAATTCTCATTTTTCCCCTGAGCACCTTTTTCTCTTAACTCACATGCCTTAGAATCCATGACTAATAATAGGTTAATAAATGGTGGCTCTTGGGCTTACCAAAATGGGTCAGCAGGCAGAGGCACTTGGAGCCAAGCATGGCACCTGATGGCCCAAGTATTATCCTCAGAAGTCATGTGGTAGAGGAAGAAAGTTGACACCCATACACTGTCCTCTGACCTTCACCTGTTGTCCATACACAGAACAAAACATAAGAAAGAGAATGGGGAGGGAGAAACAAACCCGGTAACCCTGTACAAACCCTGGAAATCTGCAGTGTTAAGATTGTTCAGAGTGTTCAGGAGATGATCAATACATGCATGAGGAAACATTCTGTGGTCAGGGTCAGAATCTTTAGGAATCAGAGAAGACATCATCCATTCTCATCACCATCGCTGCTCATTAACTGTGACCATCAGTCAACCTGGAGAACCTTGAAATTCTCAGTTCATTGAGTGGCATTCTCTCCTTTGTCATATTATTCTTATTACTTTTAATTATGTGTATTTCAAGTCCATGTGTGGACATGTGCTGGTACTTGTGATCACAGGGGCCCCAAGCTTTCAATTTCCAGGGAGCTTAGGATTTTCATGAAACTGGAATAACAGGAGCCATCTGATGTGGATGCTGGGAACCAAACCCAGGTCCTCTACAAGGGCAGCATATGCTTTTCATCACCGAGCCACCTACCTCTCCAGTCCCATAAAGTGCTCTGGAGACTGTAACGTCCAAAGGTGTGGATAATCATACAAGGCTAAGTACTGTTCTGCCCAATATATCACACCTTAAAAACAGAGATCTGGCAGATTCCATGTCTACGAAGATTCACAGTACCTGGCTTAGTCAAAAAATGCCAATCAAACCAAGAAGGAAGAGTGAAGTTCACTGATTAAAACCAGAAATGATACAGAAAATTAATAAACAATTACAAGAGATACATATAGTTATCAAAATGTTCAAAAAACACAAAACAAAAGAAAGGTGGGAGATACAGCTCAAGGTCTTCAAGCACTATATTGAAGAGGTATGGAGAAAGTGGACAGCCTTGTTTCATTCCTTATTTTAGTGGAATGGTTTTGAGTTTCAATCTATTTAATTTAATGTTAGCTTGCTGTATTTTGCTTTTATTATATTTAGGAATGCACCTTGTATCCCTAATATCTCCAAGTCCTTTATCATAAAGGGGTGTTGAAATTTGTCAAATGCTTTTTCCGCATCTAATAAAATGATTATTTGTTTTTTTTTCCCCTTCAGTTTATTTATATGATGGATTACATTGATAGAATTTTTGTATGTTGAACCAGACCTGCCTCTCTGTAGAAGGAGCAGCGGATCATGTTCCTGCCAGGATCCCCACTCCCACACGACTAACTTTACATCTGAAATAATTACACAAAAACTGTATTCTTTTAAACACTGCCTGTCCCATTACCTCCAGACTCTTATTGACTAACTCTCACATATTGATTCAACCAATTTCTAATAACCTGTATCTCACCACAAGGTTGTAGTTTACCAGGAAAGATTCAGCGTGTCTGACCTGGCAGCTTTATGGTGAGCGGCTCTCTGACTCTGCTTCTTTCTCTCAGCATTCTGTTCTGTCTACTCCATCTATCTAAGTTGCTGCCCTATCAAAGTCCAAGGCAGTCTCTTTATTTACCAATGAAAGAAACACAGACAGTTGACCTTCCTAGTTTATTTCCCCTTTTTCTGTTTAAACAAAAGAGAAAGGCTTTCACTTTAACATAATAAAATTACATATAGCAAAACAGCTATAAAGCAAGAATTAAAGTTACAGTTATAAAGCAAGAATTACAGTTAAAATATTTATATGTATTTTATCTTTTATCATAACTAAGGAAAACTATAACTATAACTAACCATTCTTCAACTCCATCAAAGACTCCAGAAGGATATCATATTACCTAAGTAAACAAGAAGTATATAATATTACCTAAGTAAACAAGAAGTCAACCACTTCCAAACTCTAGAAATGACAGAGACATCTCGCTGCCTATATAGTCACCCAAAGTTCTTTTGTACTGTTGGGGCATCCATCTTCAGCCTTCAGGCCCATAATATCCAGCAGACTTTTCCATGAAGCAGGAAATTTTAAAAGCAGTTCAGTTACTACCAGATGTGTCCTGCAGAATGTCTTGCAGACCCTTTCATGAATCAGGAACCTCAAAAGACCATCTCACCTTTAGGCAAGTTCAGCAGTCCTGTCTCTGCAGGTTCTTTATGTCCAGTTTATGCAGCAGTCCAGGGAAAAACAGTTTCTTGCCCAAATGGCTAACCAACTCCATAAGGAACCTCTTTGATGCCCATCTTCCTCTTGAAGTAGCTGATGCTGCCAGGAGCAGACATGTCTCACTGTCATGAATAGCCCTAAGTTATTAAAACCTTTAAAATTCCATATTCTGTAGTCTTTGAAAGATATGAAGAATTTCTATCTTACTGAAATATGTCTCTACATATCTAGAAAATCTAACTAACATGACTACAAGCCTGACTATTATTGATGATTATCCCTTAACAACCTATATTTCCTAATTATAGATTACATTTTTAAATGAACTACATAATCATATTACCTTAATCAAGAGCAGAAATACATATAACAAAATTGACCTTGAAATCCATACCAATGCAAATTATTCGTATCTATATCATATCCCCCTTTAAATATAAAGGAACATTTATAAACAATATCTGAGAATATGGACATAGTTATTTCTCTCCAAACTTCTTCCTGCTTTAAAGGGGTGCTGTTAATCAGGTCTTTCATGGTATAACCTGTCTGATAGATTCATCTTAGTCAGCAGTTGAGTGAAGTATTACAAAACTGTCACTTTCTAGTAGAGCTGATCCTGCTGCCTACTCAGGCAGGAAGAGCCAGGCCATGGGCATGGTCTCAGCTACTGGATTCCCAAACCCAAGTTGGCACACAAATATCCGGGCCCAGAAATGCTCCATAGCCAGAGTTTGCACTGGTGGCAGGGCCCAGGAATCCTCATTTTACAATGGTGCAACTTTTTTTCTGCCGTTATTACTGAAACAGGAAATCTCTCTATGGCATATCCTAGCAAACAGCAAAAAGCTGTGTTAAACTCTATATTTGTGTCTAGAATTCCTTTTAAAGCCCTCTTAGGTTTTACATGAAGTTAGTTACCACACGGGGCTCCACTCCATAGAAGGAGCAGCGGGTTGTGTTTTTGCCAGGATCCTGGCTCCCACACAGCTAGCTTTACACCCAAAATAATTACATAAAAACTGTATTCTTTTAAACACTGCCTGGCCCATTACCTCCAGACTCTTATTGACTAACTCTCACATATTGATTCAACAAATTTCTAATAATCCGTATCTCACCACAAGGTCGTGGCTTACCGAGAAAGATTCAGCATGTCTGACATGGCAGCTTCATGGCGGGTGGTCTCTGACTCTGCTTCTTTCTCCCAGCATTCTGTTCCGTCTACTATGCCTATCTAAGCTGCTGCCCTATCAAAGGCCAAGGCAGTCTCTTTTTTTAAAGAATGAAAGTAATACAGACAGATGAACCTCCTACATCCCCTCTCTGGGATGAAGCTTACTTGATCATACTGGATAATTTTTTTAATGTGTTCTTGGATTCTTTTCCCAGAATCTTATTGAGAATTTTTGCATTGTTGTTCATGAGTGAGATTGATCTGTAATTCTCTTTCCTTGTTGGGTCTTTGTATGGTTTTGGAATCAGGGTGACTGTAGCTTCATAAAAAGAGTTTGGCAATGACATTTCTGCTTCTATTATGTGAAACACATTAAGGAGTGTAGGTATCAGGTCTTCTTGGAAGATCTAATAAAATTCAGCAATAAAGCCATCAGGTCCTGGGCTTTTTTTTTCTTTTGGTTGGGAGGGTTTTTATGACAGCTTTTATTTCCTCAAGACTTAAAGGTTTATTTAAATTATTCACCTGGTCTTGATTTATTTTTGGTAAATGGTACTTATCTAAAAACAAATCCAATTATTACACATTTTTCAACTTTGTGGTATATAAGCTTTTGTAGTAAGACCTAATGATTCTCTGAATTTTCTCAGTGTCTGTTGTTATGTACCCTTTTTCATTTCTGATCTTGTTAATTTGCATGTTCTCTCTCTGCTTTTTGATTAGTTTGGATAAAGGTTTGTCAATCTTGTTGACTTTCTCAAAGAACCACGTCTTTGTTTCATTGATTCTTTGGATTGTTTTCTCTGTTTCGATTTTGTTTATTTCAGCACGCAGTTTGATTATTCCCAGTCTTCTACTCCTCCTGGATGAGTCTGATTCTTTTTTTTTCTAGAGCTTTCAGCAGAACTGTTATGTCTCTAATGTGAGCTTTCTCTGTCTTTTCAATGTGGCACTTAGACCTATGAACTTTCCTCTTAGGACTGCTTAAGTGTCCCATATGTTTGAGTATGTTGTGTCTTTATTTTCATTGAATTCAATGAAGACTTTAATTTCTTTATTTCTTTCCTGCCTCAGGGGTGGTCCAGTAGTTGACTGTTCAGCTTCCATGAATTTGTAGGCTTTCTGGGGGTAGAATTATTGTTAAATTCTAATTTTATTCCATGGTGATCCTGTAAAACACAGGTGGTTATTAATATTTTTTGTATCTGTGGAAGTTTGTTTTCTTACCAAGTATGTGGTCAATTTTTGAGAAGGTTCCATGAAATGCTGAGAGGAAAGTATATTCTTTCCTATTTGGGTGGAATGTTCTATAGATGTTTGGTAAGTCCATTTGATGCATTACCTCCATTAATTCTTTTATTTCTTTGTTAGGTTTCTGTCTGATTGACCTGTCCATTGGTGAGAAAGAAGTGTTGACGTCTCCTACTATTAGTGTGTGTAGTTTGATGACTGCCTTGAGTTCTAGAAGTGTTTCTTTTACATAAGTGGGTGCTTTTATATTAAAGGCATAGATATTCAGGATTGAGACTTCCTCCTGATGAATTGTTCTTGTTATGAGTATAAAATGTCCATCTCCATCTCTTCTGATTAATTTTAATTTGAAGTCAATTTTGTTAGAAATTAGTATGGCTACACCCACTTGTTTCTTAAGTCCATTTGATTGAAAAATCAACCCTTTACTTTGAGTAGATGACTGTCTTTGTGGTTGAGATGTGTTTCATGTAAACAGCAGAATGTTGGATCCTGTTTTTGCATCCAGTCTCTTAGCCTGTGACTTTTTATAGGTGAATTGACTCCATTGATATTAATGATATTAATGACCAGTGATTGCTCACTCCGGTTATTTTGTCTTATCATTTTTGGTGGTAGAGTTTGTGTGTTTTCCTCCTTTGAGTTGTGCTGGTGAAGGGTTTCTAGATGTCTGAGTTATTGTGTGCATGTTGGCTTCCTTGGTTTGTGATTTTCCTTCTATTACTTTCTGTAAGCCTGGATTTGTGACTACATATTGTTTAAATTTGTTTTTATCCTGGAATATTTTGTTTTCTCCATTAATAATGAATGAAAGCTTGGCTGGGTATAATAGTCTGGGCTTGCATCCATGGTCTCTTAGTATCTGCAGCATATCTATCCAGGACCTTCTGGCTTTCATGGTTTCCATAGAGAAGTCAAATATAAGTCTGATAAATTACTTGACCTTTTTCCTTTGCAGCTCTTAATATTTTTTCTTTATTCTGTATGTTTTGTGTTTTGATAATTATATGGTGAGGGTATGTATTCTTTTGATGCAGTCTATTTGGTGTTCTGTATGTTTCATGACCCTTCATAGGAATATCTTTCTTTAGGTTAGGAAAATTTTCTTCTATAATTTTTTGAATATATTTTCTGGGCGTTTGAGCTGTAATTCTTCCCCTTCTTCCACCCCTATTATTCTTAGGTTTGATCTTTTTATTGTGTCCCAGATGTACTGGAAGTTTTGTGATGAGAATTTGCTGGATTTGTTGTTTTCTTTGATCAGTGCATTTCTTTTCTCTATAGTATCGTCAGCATCTGAGA